GTGGAGTCGTGCCCCCGCCCCGCCCCGCCCCTCGCCTAGCTCCTCTGAGGCTCAGCCTCCTTATGCCAGTGGGGTGACCTGCTGGGCACCTGTAGCACCAAGTTCCAAAGGGGCCAGAGCTCTCTGCTGCTCCCAGTGTGAGTCTCACTCTCAGGTGCCCCAGGTACTGGCCACCCTGGGTTCTTCTGCCACTTGGCTTGACCTGGAAATGAGAACGGGCACCCATCATGACTGCCCCTTGGGGTGGGTGTCTCTCAGCCGCCTGTGGAACTTAGGGCCCGTGCCATGCTCTGAACCCTGGAAATGCTCTTGTCACTCCACCCTCACAAAAGAGGTGGTGAGCACCTGGGAGACCCCCAGGCACCTAACCTAGACCACTCCCAAAGAGCCAGGCCTGAGGCCCACAGCAGGCCCCTGGCACCAGGAGACCCCGGCCCTCACATGCTCCATGAACCCACTAGGGGTTCCCCGGGCTCAGGCCAGTTTTTGTGTCTGGGAAGCAGGTGGCAGCCTGGCCCTGGCCTTCTCTGGACAGGAGAGGGAGAGTGCTTCTCTAGGGCAGCCTGGCCTGGGCCTGCACCTTCCACCTGAAGCTCACTGTGTTCTCTGTACGGATCCCGAGGTGCCTGGTCAGGGAGAGGAGGGCCTGGTCTCCCTCAGATGGGTGCCCAGGCTGGCAGGGACGGAGGGAGGGAGGCTGGGGCTCAGGGCACAGAAGACCGCCAGGTGCTGTGCCCCCGGGCTTGACCCTGCTGGAGATGCGGGCAGATGGGCTCCGCTGGACTCCACTGACTTTCCTGCCCCTCTTGCCCTCTGCCATGGTCGGCACCATCAGATTCATGCTTCTGATAAGGGACAAGGCATCACTGAACCCTCTTCCAACCTGCAGATGGCGTGGTCCTTGGCAAGTGGAAGGGCTGTCGGCATTAGCTTGTGCTGGCCTCAGCTGTCCTTGACCCTTGGCCCAGGGCACAGGGGAGTACTCTCCCCAAGAGTGGGAAAAGCAGGAAGGGTCAAAAGGCCCAAGGCCAGCCCCAGTGCTTCCGGGGGGCCTTGGTCAGGTCGCTCCATGCCTCAGTGTCTGCATTTATGAAATGGGAGAGAGACTCCTGGGAGCGCTCCGACCTGAGAGGCGGGCAGCCAACCCTGCTGGCTGCTCCGGGATGAGAGGGTGTGGTGGCTTACCTGGGAGGTCACCCCCAAGTCACAAGTGAGACAGTGCAAGCCTTTTCAGAGGTGGAATGGTTGGATCCTGAGAGTTGCGGTCCCCTGAGGTGGACTGACTGGCTGGTGACTGCCGGCAGGTGGGGCTTGACCGGAGCAGGCAGGCCACTGGGGTGTCCTGGGGGTCTTGTCCTGGAGAGTGGAGCGCTCTTCCTGATGGCCATGTCCTGAGCTGCCTGCCTTTGCCATGTCCTTCACCATGATGTTTGGCCTCCCTTTGGACCCAGAGCAGTGGAGTCCTCTGACCATGAACTGGACCTCCAAACCCATGAGCCAAAATAAACTTTGCCTCTTCTAAGTTGATCTCTCAGGTATTTTGGTCACCGTGACAAAAAGCTAAAGCAGTAGGGAAGCACTTTCAGGAAGACTGGACAGAGGGTCAGGGAGGGACAGAGCTGGCAGAGCTGGGGCTTCCTGAGCAGTATTCTAGGAGCGACCCAAAGTGATCCGGCCTCAGAGTCAGGTGCCAGCAGAGGAAGGGCTTGGGGGACCGGTTCCTGTGGCCCTGTGAGCACCAGGGCCTCCTCCCGGGTACTTCCAGCCCTGCCTTGGGCCCAGGGAGTCCCAGACTGTCCCTGGCCTGAGTCTGAGAGAGGCGCAGCTTAGGGCCCAGGAGCAGGGGACAAAGACCAGCACCCGTCCACAGAGGGAAGGTGGAAGGACCTCAAGGATAGGGAAATGCCACAGTTAACCCTGCTTGGAATCTGGGAGCTTCGACCATGAGTTCTGTGGCTCACGGTGGGGCATCGGTGGGACATGGGAGACCCCAGACAGCCATCCTCCCAGGCTGACAGAAGCCTCGGCGCTCCTGGGAGGCACCGCCGCCCGCCTCCGGGCCACATACCCTCCATTTCTCCAGGAGAAACAGCACAGGCCTGGAGGCCAGCGGCGTGGCAGGCCAAGCGCAAGGCCACCTCCTGCATGTGGACACTGCGAGTCAGAAGCAAAGCCCGGCAGTCGGCAGTTAGCGGCCTGGACATCCGGAGGCGTGGAAGCTAAGACACCGGCCAGGATGGGCAGAGGCCGAGAGGGAAGCGTGGGTTGGGGCGCTGGGCCCGGCCAGGAGGTGGGCCGACAGAGCTGGGGGTCCGGAAGGGCGCCGGGTTTCTTTAGCATCCAGGCTGCGGGCCAGGGGCGGGCCGGGGCTTCTCGCACCGTTTTGTGGGGGTTGCAGAATTGAGAAGGGAAAAACGGAGGCCGCTGGACAGAGAACATGCTCGCCAGACATCTCCCAGAGGAGGCGCCTGAGCTCTATCAGGACAGATCCCGGCGAAACCTGGTGATTGAAATTTTAAGGAACCCATCCCGCTCCTGGCGACCCTAGTTAGAAGGCCTGGGTCATCGGCCCCGCAGACGTATGCAAGCATGGGACACACAGGAGGGACCCTAGGCTGCAGATGGCCGCAGCTCAGGCAGGCGGCCTCGCCTCCTGCAGCCGGTTTTTCCCATCTGTGGAGCCCCAAGCCGGCGAGGTGGAGAGCGCCAGAGAGAACCCTGGTCATAAGTGAGGACCCAGGACCCGGGGAGGGACAAAGAAGCCCGCTGCAGGGCCGGGCCAGCTCCTCCAGATCTCCCCCACGTTCCCTAGTAAGCAGGCTCTCCTCTTGCATTCAAAGCCCACCTGTAGTCCTAAGGAATCAGGAGCCYGAGGCAAGAGGATGGCAAGTTGGAAACCAGCCTCAGCGACTTAGGGAGACCCTCAGCAATTCAGCTACACCCCGTCTCAAAAAATAAAAAGGGCTGGGGATGAAGTGGTAAAGCACCCCTGGCTTCAATCCTCAGTACTGCAAAATTAATGATGATCATAAAATAAATAAAATAAGAACCCATCTTAAGATCAATTTCAGGTGCTGCTAGGAGTTTATGAGTCAATGTTGCTTGAAAATCTTAAGAGGCTGAGGCAAGAGGATCCCAACTTTGAGGCCAGCCTCAACAACTAACAAGGCCCTCAAAAAAAAAAAAATGCTGGGAATGTACCTTAGTGGAAAAGTGCCTCTGGGTTCAATCCCCAGAACAACACACAGATTCTGGGGGCTGGGCTGCAGCTCAGCGGTAAAGCACTTGCCTAGCATGTGCCAGGCCCTGGATTCAGTCCCCTGCACTGAAAAACAACACCAAACCTGCATTTTCTTGCAGTTTGTGTCATACATTTCTTAACAAGGAGAAAAATGCTTCAATTGTCTCATGATTTTAAGAGGCTATCGCCATCTGTCTCTGCTGGCGACCCAATGCTGGGTTCACAAATCTGACTATTCCAATAACTCAAGAAAATGACAAAGAAAGCATGAAACCACACAGAAATACCTCTTTCAATATTCTGTAGATGGCTTGGCTCTGCAAACTTGGGAATTCTTTATTCTTATATGGGGAACACACAAGAGAAGGTTCCATGGAACATTCTATCCCCCAAAGGGCAAAGGGTAGGGTTACAAAGGAACAGGTGAGTGTGGCTCACCCCCACAGGCGTCATACTCCTGGAGCCTCGCCTTGCTATGGACCTGGGACCACGCCCAAGTCATAAAATGTAGTGGTTGGCCAGAGCCTCCTGCTTCAGGACTGGAAGGCATGGTCATTCAGAGTGGTTCCCTGCCACATCTCTCCAGCGACATGGCTAACTTGAGCAAGCCCAGTGATGTGAATCATCAAGCTTTTAAAACCAACTTGAGCCATCAACACAAACCTTCACTCAAGTGTGACTTCACTAGACCCTGATGCTCCTAAAGCTGAATTTTGAGGATCTTCAAATCGGCCCATCCCCAGACAATGTGGACGGACACACCTGGGCAGACATTCCACTGTATGATGACAGGACACAAGTGTGGACGTAGACTTGCCAAAGGCTGTCCAGCACACTCCTGCCAGGCTTCTAACTGGATGGGAAGCTGGGTCCTTGCGACTGCCCAGGGCTCCTCCGGGCCCAGAAGGCCCCTCTCCTTTTCTAGTTAGGAGGTCTTTCCAGAGTCAGTGGATACCTGGCCCCCAGTGTATCCCTTATCCCCTCCAGGAAGGGAAGTGGATGAATTGGGCAGGTGCCCTGCCGGTGGCTTTAGGAATCCAAGAGAGAAGCAGATGGCCCACTGGCTACAGGGGACAGCATCTGAGGGGACTTCACACCTCCCAGTAGCCCCGCCCCTGGTGGCCTCGGGGACAAGGGTCCCCTGAAAGGAGAAGCGGTGTGCAGAGCCTCTCTGGACAGCAGGGAGGCCTAGCTGAGGAAGAGCCTGCTGAGGCTGGAGGGAGGGAACCCGGAACCAGAGCCCGTGGTCTGCAGAGTTGAAGGGCAGTGAGTGCCCGGCAGTGGAGGGTGGGGGCTGCTGCTCAGGTCAGTGGGTTTTGGGGGAAAAAAAGTCCCAGGGCCTGAACTGAACCCTGCCTGTCTCTATCCACCTCTACCTCTCCTCCTCGGCTGGGCGCAGCTGTCGCCTCTGCACCGGAGAGAGCCCGGCGGGAACGGCAGAGTCCAGGTGTTGCCCTAGCAACGAGGCGGGATGGGGGAGGGCGGCTAAATTCTGTCTCCATAGAGATGGCTGGCTGAATATCAACGGTACCAGTGTTGGACACACCCGACACGGACAACCAAGGACCAGAGGGAACCCACGAGTACAGGTGGGCCATGCTGCTCCGACTCCGAGTCTGCCTCCCCAGACTTCGCGACCTTAGGAGGCATTCTATCCATGGACCTGGGGCCTAGATTTTTCCGGTTTGGGGAAAGGAAGAAACTGGACTGTGGGGGGGAGCACTGCCCTCCTGAGCCCCTGTGCCCCAGGTCCTAACCCATGGCGCCCAAGAAGAAGCGCGTGACGAGCTTAGGGCGCCGACTGGGTGAAGGTGCAGAGCCGCAGCCGTCGGAACGCGCGCAATACCTACAGCGCGAGTACACGTTGCTCTCCGAGCAGCTGGACGCCTGCGAGGGGCGCGTGGACCAGGTGCTACAGGAAAACATCTTCCTGGACCGCGAGGCAGGGCGCTTGCGCGAGGAGAATCGGCTTTACGCCAGTTTTGTAAACACACGCGCGCAGCGCTGTGCCAACGCCGTCCTGCGGCTAGACGAGCAGAACCGCGTGGATCTGGGGCAGATCCATTGGGAGCGGTCAGAACTAGCGTCTCTGTACCAGGGGCGCGAGGATGGGGTGCGTGCGCAGCTGCTGGAGATGCAGGCGCGTGCAGCGCAGATGGCGCAGCAGGTGCAGGAGCTGCAGCCTTACAAGGCCAGTACGCGTGCGGTAGCGGACCTGACGGTGGGGGCGGGGGCTGCTGGTCTGGGTGGGCGCGCGTCGAGCTCCTGCGCTGACCTGCGCCCCTGCCACAGGAGCTGCAGCTGGAGCAGCTGGCCAGGATCCGGACGCTGGAGCGCGAGCTGCTGCACATGCGCGTGGAGCACACGCAGCTGCTCCACCGCGTGAAGCGGCGCTTTCTGGAGGAAAAGGCAGCCTGCGAGCGTGAGGCTCGCCAGCGCGTGCAGTCTCTGGCCAGGCGCGCGGAGCGGGAGGCGACGCGCGCGCTCATCACACATACGCAGGCCATCAAAGCAGACAATGGGCGCCTGAGGCAGGAGCTGTTGCGGCTTCTCAGCAGGGCCCAGCTGCTGCACAATATGCGGCACCAGCTGCTTCAGCAGCGTGAGCAGCTGCGTCGTGAGCACGAAGATACGCGGGACCTGGCGCGCGTGCACGGCTGGCTGCGCAGGAGCCCCGACGGCCCGCCGCTCTGGCAGCCGCCCGTCTCTTCCCAAACCTCCTCGCGCCCAGAATCAAACGCCGTCACCGCGAGGGGCCGGTCGCGCGGAGCCTCCCGGGCCTCTGTGGTCCGATCGCGCGCTGCCTCCCCAGCCACATCGGTGGACTCGTCACGCGTAGCCTCCCAGCCCCCGTCCAGGTCCTGTGCGCTTTCTCGCGTATCATCGTTGGTCCCTTCGCTAGCCACTTCGAAGGCAGGGTTAGAGGCCTCTTCCTTAACAGTGACGCGCCAGGACTCCCGGGTTCCGTCCTTGACCCCGTCGCGCCCGGGCTCCCGGGTCTCATCCTTGATCCCGTCGCGTCCCAGTTCCCGGGTCGCATCTCTGACCCTGTCGTCAGCGAGCTCCAGGACCTGGTCACTGGCGAGGTCACATGAGGGGTCTCGGATCTCTACGCACTCCTCCTTGCCTGCGGCCTCACAGGACACTCTCCCCTCAGCAAAGTTCAACCCCAAGCTTCCCTCCAGTCGGTTCGGGGACCCCCCTCCTCCCACCTCACAGTCGGAGAATGTGGACGCCGACGCGGCATCCGGAGGCGCGGGGCGAGACTGAACCCACCGGGGGAAAGGACATGGAGGCCCCGGGGAGGACGCGCCCTTGCTGCGTGCAGGTATTAATAAACGTGTGACCACACCCCCGCATCTGCCTGGTCCACTGCTCTGGCGTTTCCAGCGGCCACAGGAGCCACTCAGCTACAAGGGAGCTTGATGCCTTCTCCCACTGTGGGTCCATGGGAAATCAGTGTCCCTCCACTGACAGCGGACCTCCGCCAAGAACCCTCAAGGGTAGAGGACATCAATGACCAGGTGCTCAGGGGAAGCTGAGTAGCGGTGACCTGACTGTAGTGGGAGAGCCTGGGAAAGAGAAAGGGCTTCCTTCTCGTCCCCCCAGGGTCTGGCGACTAACCTATTGAGAGTTTTTCGTTGTTTTTTTTTTTTTTTTTCCGATAAAATTTCCAATTTAGAAAAATTTGCAATACTACCAGGAACTCCCACATGCCACGCATTCAGACACAGCCGCAGGCATTTCGCGGGGTTTCTCTCTCTGCGCGCGATTCTTTCTGAGCCATCTGGGACTAGGTGGGGGACATCGTGCTCCTTGACCCCTAAATACGAGTGTGTTTTCCGCACCTAAGGACACTCTCCTACGTTACTGCAGAGCAGTGATCAAAAGCAGGAAATTGGCCTGGCGTGCTGGCGCCTATGCCTGCAAACAGCGACCGGGAGGCCGAGGCAGCAGGACCTCAAGTTGGAGGCCAGCCTGGGCAAGTTAGGGAGCTCCTGCCTCCATAAAGAATAAAAAGGTCTGGGGATGTAGTTCACTGGATGAGCAACTCCGGGTTCAGTTCCCGGCACACACCCTCACCCTGCCCTCCAAAAAAAGGGAAAGCAGGAGATTCGCTATGGAGAAAACACCATCACCAAGTCATAGCGCACATTCAGATGTCGCCGTTTGGCCCCAACGGTGTCCTTCCCTGGCTATGCCTTTTCCCCAGGCATCTTGCGGTCGTATCGCCATGTGCCAGGCCAGTTACTAAAATGTCCCTTGCCTGAGTTCGAATTTGCGATCCTATATCCGGGGCGGTGGAGCCCCGGGAACGGAGCCGCGACCTGGGCTGCAGCGGCTCCCGGGAGGACCCGGTCAGCGAGAGCCGGAGGCTAGAGCGGCCGCTGCGCTTCCGGTCGGGACGGTGCGCGTTCCGTGGGCGGCACCTGGGCGCGCCGGTGCCTTCGCCGTTCCCGGGCGGTGCCGGGCGGGCTGTGGCCGCCCCCTGCGCCGTCCCCGCGAGCGGGAGGAAGCCGAGGCCCCGCGCCCCCCGCCGTCGAGGCAGGTGCGTGCTCGGCGAAGACCGATCCTCGCCGCGGGCGCCGCCGTCCCAGCCGGGGAATGCCCGGCGGCTCTCGGCTGAGGTCCCCGCCGCTGGGGAGGCCGAGGCGCCTCTGCCTGTAAACAGCGACCCGGGAGGCCGGCGGCACGTTCGAGGCCAGCCTGGGCGACTCAGTGAGACCTGCTCGGCGGCGAGCGTGTGCCTGGCCCGTGCGGGACCTGCTGCATCCCGGGCCGCCCAGTAGGGCGCGGGCAGCCGCGGGTCTCGCACGACACGGAGCACACCTGTGTGCGGGACCCGGGCGTCGTGCTTGGGTAAAAGTTCTACCGCAGAGCTACCCCCAGCCCGCCGCTAGACGTTCCTACCAGCACCAGCACCTTGGGTGTTTTTACCAGGGGACTGGAAATCCGGTCCGCAGGACACCGCAGAGATGTCCAGCAGCTTCACCGCCAGGATGTCCTCCCATCGCCCAATGGGTGAATCCTGGGCCATCCAGACCATGGACTGTTACCAGTGAAAAAGAAATGCGCTGCTGAAGAAGAAAGGATGTGGGAAAACATAGGTGCACAGTGTAAGGCAAAGACGCGGATTCCAACTCGGACAATACGGAGAGGGCATAACAGAGGGGGCATAACAGGGGGAGTATAACAGAGGGGATAACAGAGGGGGCATAACAGAGAGCGTAGAAAGACCAGTGGTGGCCAGCGAGGGTCAGGGAGGGTGAGAGGCCGAGGCCTGACTGTTCCATGTGACACTGTGCAGGTGGTGGCACCCTTAGACCATGTCATGGAGAGCAGCCTAGAACTTCAGTTGCAGTTGGTGATGGGTCCTGGCTGCCCACTAGTGTAACAAGTGAACTGCCCCCAGGCAAGACGCCTGTAGTGCTGGGAACTGGGCTTCCTGATCAGTTTCCCAGTAAACCTAGACTTCTGAAAACATACAGTGTACTACAAGTCGTGAAGTATTTAAGGTAAAAACATTGAATTATTAAGAAGCACATGCAAATTCTGTAATTTTGAGGAGAGGAAAGCATGTTTTAGCAGAAAACCTAAAGGCATAAGAGATTGTTTATTTATTTACTTTTATGGTGGTCCTGGGGATTGAACCCAGGACGTTGTGCATATGAAGCAAACGCTCTACCAACTGAGCTATATCCCTAGCCCATAAGAGATTTTTTTCTGTGAAGACAGAAAAGTTAATGTGAAAATTTTTATACTATAAATTAGAAAACATGACCAATCTTGGAGGGAAAAAATATATATATATATTACCAGGGATTTAACCCAGGGGTGCTTATCACTAAGCCACATCCACAGCCCTTTTATTTTATTATTTAATTTTATTTTTTTAAAGAAAGAGAGAGGGAATTTTTTATTTTTTAGTTTTCAGTGGACACAACATCTTCATTTCATTTTTTTTGTGGTGCTGAGGATTGAACCCAGCACCCCACGCATGCCAGGAAAGCACACTACCATTTGAGCCACATCCCCAGCACAACCTTTTTATTTTTTATTTTAACATAGGGTCTTGCTAAGTTCCTTAGGGCCTTGCCAAGTTGCTGAAGCTGGCTTTGAACTTGCTATCCTCCTGCCTCAGTCTCCTGAGCCACTGGGATTACAGGTGTGCCCACTGTACCTGGTGGCAAAAATATTTACAACAATAAAATAGCCAAAGCATGACTTTCCTGTACTGGCGCTGGGGCTCAGTGGTAGAGCATTTGCCTAGCATGTGTGAGTCACTGGGTTCAATCCTCAGCACTGCATATAAGTAATACATAAAATGAAGGTTCATCAACAACTAAAAAAGATATTGTAAAAAAAAAAATTAAAAGGATACCTTTCAGGGCTGGGGCTGGGGCTTAGCAGTAGTGCACTTGCCTGGCATGTGTGAGGCCCTGGGTTTGATTCTCAGCACCACATATAAATAAATAAAATAAAGGTCCATCAACAACTAAAAGCTAAAAAAAAAAAAATGTTTTTAAAGGATAACTCCTTATAATGGGAGAAAAAAAAAGACCAAACAACTTGCCAGAAAAGGCAGATAGACCCATGAGTGCAGAAGACATAGGAATGTGGCTGCACAGTGCTGCTCAGGAAGGAGGAGGGCAGGGCAGGGCAGAGCAGGCTGAGGAAGGCCTGCCCTTGACTCCTGCTGAGCCTGACCTGAGGTGGTGTCCACATCTGCAGGCCGACAGCTTCTCCTGAGCCTGCTGCCATCGGAACCTGATGCAGCAGTTCCCCAGGGCCTCTGATGCCAGTGTCTGGTGGCCTGCTGTGTTCAAGCCTGTACCTATTGCCTCTGAGTGCTTGTGTCTGCAGGGGGCTGTTGCAGATGTGTTAGAGTAGGCCAGTCCAGCGGGATGGGTGTCCTTTGCTGCCCCGACCTGCATGGGCAGCTGAACTTAAGGTCGCTCACCAAATAAAACACAGACACACACTTTTCCTTTAAATCAAGCTTCAAGACGGCTCCTCCACTCTCGACCTCAAGCTCCCCAAATGGGAGAGTGAGGAAAGTCACGAGAGGCTGGCAAGAGAGAGAGGGCACGTTCGGAAGTGAGCTTTTATTGGGGGACCCTCATTCTTAGAAAGTTCCATCCAAAAAAGGTCAGGAGGGGCAGGGTCACAAGGACAGGTGAGTGTAATTCGACCCAAAGGGCTGCAGGACGGCACTCCTACACGTGAAGACACATCCTCTACCTCCAAGATGGGGGCACGTCCAGGTCAAGGACAGAGCCATGCCCACCCACGGGGAGGAGAATGCCAGTCATTCAGCGAGGCAGCCTCCCACAGTCCTTGTTACAGAACTCTGGTTCCTGGGTCCAGAGTTGAAGAAACCCAACACTGCACCCAGAGCGAATCTCAACACTTCAGACCCCCACACCTTTCTCTGGGCTTAATAAGACCACAAAAGGCAGGAGAGGAACAACTGGGATGCCATTCAGTGACACTGCACACATAGGACTGTGTGGGTTCCTTGGTCCTAAGAGCAGGGGAGACTAAACTCTGCTGGTAAGAGAATGATGATTTTTAAACAGGGAAAGAAAAGTTACCAAGATGCTAGGAGCAGAAGAAGACCTCAGGGAGTCACAGGGTCAGACCAGAAGGGGGTCTATTCTCAAAAGGGAAAGAAGAAATTATGTCCCAAAATTGTTAGACAGGAAGCTCATGGTCCTGGTCATAGGGACTCAAAGGAAATTTGTGCACACCTAACACAAGGCCAGAGACATCTGATTACAAGTTTTTTGTGGGATTTCTATGGGAACAAGTGGGAAACACCAAAACCCAAGGTCCCTAATTCTGAAGAGAGTTGCCTTGGGTGGGATTCAGAGGCCTAGTTACAGGACCTAAAAACTCTCCTCTCTTCCAGAATAGCCAACATGGGAGGGCCCACCTGCATTCCACAGCCCTTGCCACCTGGATGTACCCTTATCAGCGGAAATGTTTCAACCCTGACGATCTGATAAAACAACTTCTCTTTACTGTAATAATGCTGGGCCCCAATACAGCTAGGGGATCTGGAGAAATGGCCTCTGAGTGGAAGCCCAATTGTAATACCATCCTGCAGCAGGAGATGAAGCAAGTGGTTAAAAGTCCCCTATGTGCAGACCTTCATGGCCCTTTACCAAATCCCACTCCTATGTGATGACAAGATCCCACAAGGAACCCTAAGAAAACTGCCCCAAACCCCAATATCCTGGACCCATTGTTAAGCTGCCCGCTATGGC